GGCGTCCCAAAAGAGCAATAATCATATCGATTTTGAGTAGTGTGCGTGTACTTTATAATAAAACAAATTTCGGTTGTATTGTAATATAATGCAAGAATCTTTAAAAATCATGTTAAGGCTATTTATTTGTTTTAAATTTTAAAGTATACACTCTCTTCACTCTAATGAACAACCACAACAAAATGATAATAATAATTAATAATTGAAAACACAACTTCGAAAGTATTTTTTTAGCGTAATTAACATAGGCCGTCCATTTTGATAAAATGCTTAGATTTAAACTTTAGAAAGATTTTTTTCTTTTGCAATTTTTTAGATAGGTTTATTATCATTAGATAAACAATGTTAAAAATGAAAAAAGTAATTTTAAGTTTGTAAAGGCTAAGATCTTGAAATTCTCTAAATGAATGGTCTAAATTCGTTGTTAGAAGAGACCCATTCTGACCATATCTAGAATTCAAATTGAACTTTTCTTTTAGAGGGATTGATTATTGAAATAAAGAAAGTTTGTATACAAAATTTTGAGTCATACAAACACCACAAACATAATTTCTTAAAAATGTGGTTGTATCATACAACCGTTGCATTATATCATTGCCCTAGACTTTTAGTAGAGACGTTATCGAAATAGTGTTATTCAATAAGTTTTGCGCGCTTAAATTCCGTTATTGAATTCGCTACAGCATGAGGCGCGTCGTGCCATCGAGCAGATGATGAAAGAGGGAGAGACGAGGTGATTTCAATATGCGAAAGAAACAGTGAGAACAGCGTGCAAAACGAAAGTGATAGAGAGAAAGGGGCTGCAATAGTGGCTGCAGTTGATTTGGACATGCGTAAGAGAATACCGGGTTTACCGACATGCGTAAACAAGAATCATAATGAGCGAAGTAGAGAGAGGGACGACACGTACAGACAGAAAGAAATGAGTAATTGAGGAGAGAGAAAGAGGCCTAACTGATTCGGTCATGATTGCGTTAATCGAATATTGATTACTGCATGTACTACTTACACATACTACTTGTAGCATATTATCATCATCAATACTCATTTCGCAGCTCAACCGGCCGGGGGGGGACACTAATAATGAGAGAAAGACACAAAGGTACCGCAACCCCTGCTTTTTCTCTTCCCTTAAATGTTCCCTACCTAACTAATCACCAATCCCTGAAAAAATGGAAAAAAAAAAAGAACGAGGATATAAAAAAAATAAGAAAACCCTACTTTACCCCCGCCTCCACGATGAATTATTGCCAACCCCAACAATATTATATATACACAAACTCGTCCCCCTCCCACATGCCAGCAAGCGCACTTCGCCCCAGCATACATATTAGACAAAAGTAGTATAAACAGGAAGAGAGAGAGTAATCAAGTTTAATTTTTGTGAGAGAGAGAGAGAGTAAACATCTTTGTAGGCTTTATGGTTTGATTAGGAGGAGGGGCGTGCGCCAAAAGTTTCATTGGGGGAGAGGGCGTGTCGGAAATGGCAGCGGTGGCCGTAGGGGCACTTGTCGCCGGTGAGAATCATGCGGCAGATCTCAGTCTTGTAGCGAGGATGGCGTATCACGGGGCGGAGCTCTTCAATGCCGTGAGCGAATTGGCAGCGGTCTCCATAGGGGCAGGCACCGGTCTCCTGCCACTTGTTGCAAAGCTCCGTCTTAAACATGCCCTGGTTGTACACCTCCACTTCGACCTCAACCCCTTCCTCCTCGCCTGTTGCTCCCTTCTCCTTAACGCATACCCTCTGTGGCACCATTAGCCATGAAAAGTTAATAATGTACACCAAGAGAGAGAGAGACAGGTTCTGCAATGGAGGAAGAGAGATACGAAACTCCTCTGGCTTTAAAATAGAGAGAGAGAGAGAGAGAGAGGGAGACTTTCTCCATTGGGAGAAGAGAGATGAGACTTACTTGCAAGTTTCAAAATCCAGACGAAAAATGGTTGGTTGTGCTATTGAGTAATTTCGAAATTCTTTGTACACAACATATTTAGAGGAAACTTTGTCAGTTTGGGATAAACCGAGGGCAGCCAGTCTTATCCTTGCTCAAGAATGACGAATGTGGATGATTGTGACGCGTGTGTCCTGTGCAGTTATTGCAGTAACAGATGCAAGAAGCCTAGAGTGGAGCCTCCACGTGTTTTGCTAAAAGAGGGTTTATATCGAAATTGCCCTCATAAAGCACCTCCACGTCAAAATGCCAGGTTTAGTTAGACAGAGAAAAAGATGCAAATGCCAAGTACACGGACCTTTAAAGAAGTTAGGCTTAATTTAGTTTGGGTCTAGACTCTAGACTTGACACCTGATCGAGTGTAAACCGTAAAGTATTCGAGTTTCTCTTTCTTATAATTATTGATTTAGGATAGCAATAAAATGCTTCCAAATATCTTCATATATTGCGTTTAAAAGGGGTAAATTTTCGTAACAAAGGGTCTACGGCTTATTGAGACGAAATTTAATAACAAAAACAATCAAAACTTTAATTATTTGGACTGTGGTGTGAACGGCTAAGATAGGAGGTAAAGTTTGACGATTTAATCCTACACCGTTCATCCAAGACTACATTAACTAACTAAACTAACACTAGCCTGCCCTAACATCGAGACACCATGCCCTCGCCAATGCAGGAATCTCGCGTGGCTCGTGCCGCACACACGCCCTGCCAAAGAAATTCGAATCGTCGAGAAACGCGGAGAAAAAGACACGCAGCACATCGTACTAGGCGGCATCCACACTCGATCCCCTAACGAAGGGCCAAGGTGAAGCAATGTACGTCTCCACGTCCGTACAAAGCTCCATCTCCTCCATCTGTCCTGGTAACGGACGGTAGTCAAACAGAGGGAGAGAGAGAGGCTCAAATATAACCCATGTTCCTAAAAGGTTTAAGGAAAACAAACAGGGGCATGCCCAGAGAGAGAGGAGAGAGACGTATGCCCACATCCACACAAAAACAGAACGATAAGAAAAATGGCGGCCGGGAGAGAGAGAGAGCTTACGGTTTCAGCAACAGGGGTGGCGACCCTGAATCGATTGGGCTTATTGGGGCTCCTCACTCCTCCATTGACCTGATTCACCTTCAAATACCCACTGGACCTAATTGATATACTCTTCGGCACCCCTCTCTTCTCAATCCCGCCATTTCCGTTGCCCTCAAAGCTCAGCACACTCGTGGGACTCGTCTCATCAGCCTCGTCGGTTGCCACGGGCACAGAACCAACGCGCGTTCCACCACCGTCACCCACTCCCAAACGTCTGAAGTCACCTACCATAGACAACGCCGAGAGACCACAAGAGAGGTGCTCTGACTCAGTCCTCGAGCCCAGAGCCAATAGGCTTAGCCTCCTGGCTAGGTCAGCATTAGCTGCTTTGAGCCTTGCGTTTTCAGCCCTAAGCCTCGCGTAATCAGACCTGAGATGATCCGTCGAGCCCACTTGTCTGGTGGGCTCGGTCGTGCGGCCAAGAGAGATGCCATAGCGCTCGGCTATGTCTCTTATGGTTCGAGCACGGCTCGACCCAGCTTGCTCATCGAGCCATGAAGTGGAGCTGGCCAGTGGGTGCGTGGGTGAAGTCGAGTGATGATTCATCAGGGCGAGTTCGTCATCAAGAGAGTAGGGGTCGAACATGGTTGGCTCGTTGTTATTAGTGTTGAAGTGGTGCGGTGTCGGGGAGGGTGTCCGCCTGTCGAGATGAAAGGGGTTGGACACGGAAAGGGAGGGTTCGAAGGTTGAGTTGCTTGCGTACATTGTGTATGGAGCCAGTTCAAAGCCCTGCAAGTTAACAGAGGAGCAGCGAGACGGTTACGCTAAAGCCCAGAGATGGATAGAGTGCTTTAGTTTCTGGATCATTAGGAGAGAGAATGTATATACCAAAAACAGAGGAGAGAGAATGTTCTTGTGCTATCAAGTGAGATAAATTGTGTTTGTTAGAAAAAGGAGGAGAGAGAATGTGTGCCATCATGTGCTTGTGCTCAGCATTGAGTAACTGCGTAAATCATAAAGAACCTAATGATTTGAAGTTCCTACGATTGAAATTTTGCTTTTTTAAATGAAAAGTTGGAGAGCTGGAATTTCAGGCGAACTAAGGAAAATATGGCCCACCTTCTTTGTAATTTAGTGTTCAATGTACTAGGAGCTTTTATTCATCAATGTACTCAGGAAATTTTATACTTGATAAAAAAGTAGAGAATTATCAGTAACCTGGTAATTTTGAAACTGATGTCTTGAAATCAACTTCAACTCCTAGGACATTTCCATTTTTGCATATTAATTGAGATTTTCCTTTCGACACCGAAAACTATAAACTGAAAATTATACCATGTAAACAACGACAGATAATTGGGAAGAAGACTAGTCTTGGTTTCTTGCAAAACAATTTAACGAAAATTTTAAAACAAGCAAGCTAAAGATCATCATATTCAAAAAAAAAAAAAAAATGAACAAATAAAAGCAAGCCAAAGATCAAAATGTAAGAGTAGAAGCCTCGGCTTATCATGAATTTTCCCTGAAAATGGAAAAAATTCAGAAATGACAAAGCTGCCTTTACCAAATTACCTACTCCATCATAATACTGAAGCAAAGCTTGAACCAGAGAAACGTTCACAAAAAAAAAAAAAGCTTGAACCAGCGAAGACTAACAAAGGAATGTCAATCTCAAGCTTTAACCTGAAAGAATATCAAATAAATGTTGATCCCATAAATGAAACGGATGAACGTATCCCACTTACAGTATTAAACCAAAAAATTACACAGATGAAGTGACGATCTTAAGCTCGAGAAGTTACTGAGATGAATCAGAAAGCAAGAATAGCTCTCATAGCCAGCAAAGGAAACGAAGCAAGCAAACTAGATGTTTTGATTAAATCAAATTTCAGAAGTCAAAGAGAAATGAAAAATGCCTCCTAAAAATCACATGCATTCAAGAAGTGGATGATCAATTCAATGTATCTGGAGATTCTGGATTCTTCCATTGTAAACAAGCACAATGTATGTTCAAGAGAAAAGCATTAGTTCTGAAGTTTCCACTGGAACATCTTTAAAGCCAGACTAAAGGAAACTCAGGGACAAAAAATTATCAATCTTCTACTATAAACCACAGCTGATGTGATAAAACTCTAATCAGGGGAGCGTGAAACTTCATTAACTCAAGCCAAGGTACAAAATTGAACCTCTCTCGGTTAATGCAGAGTCAAAGGTTCAATTGAAAGCTGCAACTGCTAAAGAAGCTCTACAAGATCCCAAAATAAAAATGTTGAAATCCGGTAAAATAAAAGAGATTCAGAACAGATAAGTAGAATTAAGCCTGGATCACAAAGCAAATCTAAAAAATGTTAAGTTTCAGTAGCAGATGAAGATGAACAAGCAGCATATGAATGTAGCAGAGTAAATCGGAAAAATCACAAAGCTGTAAACAATCGAATAAAGCAATGAGAAATGCAGCATAAAAAACACCTAAAAGCAAAGAGATCATCTGTATTAACCAGAAAAAAGTTGAAATCCCTCAGTAAACCTGCAAAATGCAGAGCTCGCTCCAAAAGGCTCTATCAGAGCTAAAAATTGTACTATGAAGCTCCAAATGAGCAGATAAAATGGATCAAATCACAAAGCTGTAAACACTGGAACAAAGTAGTAACAAATGCAGCAATAAAACACCTAAAATCAACGAGAAAATACAGAAATCCCATGAAGCGAAAAGATAATCGTTTCTATTAACCATAAAAAAGTTGAAATCGCTTAGTAAACCTGCAAAATGCAGAGCTCCAAAAGTCTTTATCTGAACTGAAAAATGTACTCTGAACTTCCAAGATAAAATCCCAAGAACAAAGTGAAATTACGAGAAATGCAGTCTTTGCAAGTGAAAACATGTGTGGATTGCAGAGCAAACCTGAGAAATATGCAGTACTTTCCGTTTCTGTGCTCTGATGAAATCAAGAGAGAAAAGTTAGAGAGAGAGAGAGAGAGAGAGAGAGAGAGAGAGAGAGAAG